CCTACACTTGTGGGTCATCACGCACACAACCAGGATCAAGAGAATTAAACCATATCTTAGCATCACCCTTTAATGAGAACGGAAATAATTTAAGGATATAATAGTAGCGAGTTTTCTCATCATTAGTGAACAGGGTAGCTATATCATTTAATTTAGTAAGATGTGCCACAGCAGTTTTAGATTCATAGCCATAGGGTGACATAGAACTAGCTCCAGTTCATCAATGTAATGTAGGCATGTATTCGGAATATAGTCATATGTGCTTATGGAAAAGAACTTGCATGCCATCTTTTGTCCTACCCTCTTGTGGCAGCGGGGTCCTATTGGAAACTAAGGGATATTAAGGCCTCCTTTTAATAGAGTACCGGACCAAAGAATTAACACATAGTAAATACATGAACTCCTCAAACTACGGTCATCACCGGTAAGTATCCCGATTATTGTCACTTCGGGGTTAACGGATCATAACACATAATAGGTGACTATAGACTTGCAAGATAGGATCAAGAACTCTCATATACTGATGAAAACATAATAGGTTCAGATCTGAAATCATGGCACTCGGGCCCTATTGACAAGCATTAAGCATAGCAAAGTCATAGCAACATCAATCTCAGAACATAGTGGATACTAGGGATCAAACCCTAACAAAACTAACTTGATTACATGATAAATCTCATCCAACCCATTACCGTCCAGCAAGCCTACGATGGAATTACTGACACACAGTGGTGAGCATCATGAAATTGGTGATGGAGGAAGGTTGATGATGACGATGGCGACAAATTCCCCTCTCCGGAGCCCCGAACGGACTCCAGATCAGCCCTCCTGAGAGAGTTTAGGGCTTGGCGGTGGCTCTGTATCGTAAAACGCAATGCATCCTTCTCCCTAATTTTTTTCTCCCCGAACACGAATATATGGAGTTGGAGTTGAGTTCGGTGGAGCGTCAGGGGGCCCATGAGGCAGGGGGTGCACCCAAGGGGTAGGGCCCGCCCCTCACCCTCGTGGATAGGTGTGGGCCCCCTGACGTGGATCTTTCTTCCAATATTTTTTATATATTCCAAAAATAATCTCCGTTGATTTTTAGGTCATTCCGAGAACTTTTATTTCTGCACAAAAATAACACCATGCCAATTCTGCTGAAAACAGCGTCAGTCCGGGTTAGTTCCATTCAAATCATGCAAGTTAATGTCCAAAACAAGGGCAAAAGTGTTTGGAAATGTAGATACGACGGAGACGTATCAGTGGACCAGGCCGAGGGCCCCCTTTGCCGATTCCATCCTGGGCCACTTCAGGTAGCCCATGATGTATACAAGGGAGATTCCATAAGACTTGTTATACAAGATGAGGACTCCTCTCCACTGACGTAGCTGACTAGGACTCCTATTAGCATAGGCCTCCGGTGCCCTTATATAAATCGGGGCTAGGCTGTACTATGTACCCCCTCCGGTGTCACAACAACTCAACTCATACACATACAATCTCGTAGTAGATCACATGTACTATGTACCCCCTCGAAATCAACACAGTCAAAGTAGGACGTACGTTATAATCCATGTTACTATCGTGCCACGACTACCAGCTCAGGACCCCCTACCCGAGATCTGCTAGATTTGGCTCCATCAGCGACCATAGAGTCACTATAGCCGCGGCCATGCACCACCATCACCACAACGATTGTGGTAGTCACTTCCAAATGGAGGCACACCCTATCCACAGTCAGAGCCGCGACCGTATGACCCGAGCGGCCATGGCACCGAAGCCACAACTGCTGGAGCCATTCCCGCTAGTGAGGGCAAGAGCAAAGGCACTCTCCTCAGCGGCTCTCTATGCCATGTTCTCTTCCACGAGGTTGGTGCGAGAGAGGACCATGTTGAACGGCGGCAGAGGCACCATGTCCTCGAGCACAAATTGAATGGTGTCTGATAACCCACAAGTATAGGGGATCGCAACAGTTTTTTAGGGTAGAGTATTTAACCGAAATTTATTGATTCGACACAAGGGGGGGGGGGCAAAGAATATCTACAAGTATTAACAGTTGAGTTGTCAATTCAACCACACCTGGAGACTAAATATCTATAGAAGAGTGATCAGTAGCACAATAATATGATAGTTTGATAGCAGTAGTAACGATAGCAACATATACGGTAACAGTAGCAGTAGTGGTTTTGTAGCAATTGTGACAGTAGCAGCAATAGTAGTAATAACTTAGCAAGAGCAATATGTGCAAAACTCGTAAGCATTGGATCGGTGATGGATAATTATGTTGGATGACATTCATCATGTAACAGCTATAACCTAGGGTGACACAGAACTAGCTCCAATTCATCAATTGAATGTAGGCATGCATTTCGTATATAGTCATATGTGCTTATGATAAGAACTTGCACGGAATGTTTTGTCCTACCCTCTTGTGGTAGCGGGGTCCATAAGGAAACTAAGGGATATTAAGGCGTCCTTTTAATAAAGAACCGGAACAAAGCATTAACATACAACTTGCAATATAGGATCAAGAACACAAATATATTGGTGAAAACATAAATGGTTCAGACCTGAAATCATGGCACTCGGGCCCTACTGACAAGCATTAAGCATAGCAAAGTCATAGCAACATCAATCTCAGAACATAGTTGATACTAGGGATCAAGCCCTAACAAAGCTAACTCGATTACATGATAAATCTCATCCAACCCATCACCGTCCAGCAAGCCTACGAAGGAATTACTCACCCCGTACGGTGCACATCATGAAATTGGTGATGAAGGATGGTTGATGATGACGATGACGAAGGATCCCCCTCTTTGGAGCCCCGAACGGACTCCAGATCTGGGCTCCTGATGAAGAACAGGAGGTGGCGGCAGCTTCGTATTGTGAAACGCGATGAAACTTTCTTTCTTAATTTTTTCTCGCGGATTAGGAATTTATAGACTTGAGTTTAGGGTCGGCGGAGCCACGTGGGCCCCATGAGGCACTAGGGTGCGCCCAAGGGGTAGCCGCACCGTGGTGGCTCGTGGGCCACTGGTGGCTCCCCTCCTGTGGATCTTGGCTCCAGTATTTTTTATATATTCCATTAAAAATCTCTAAAAAAATCATCCAATTCCGAGAACTTCTATTTCTGCATAAAATCAACACCATGGTAGTCCTGCTGAAAACAGCGTCATTCCGGGTTAGTTTCATTCAAATCATGCAAATTAGAGTCCAAACCAAGAGTAAAAGTGTTTGGAAAAGTAGATACCACGGAGACGTATTAGTGTCGAGGCACTTGTCAAGGCCATGCAAGAACTACATGGTTAGATCCACCTCTGTGACGGGGGAGTCCATGTTAGCGAGGCCATCCATGAGGAGCTTCATGTGACGAGCATATTCGGCGACCGGTAGGTCTCCCTGCTTGAGGTTCCGATATTGCCACTTGAGCATCCTGTACTGGGCAGGCCGATTGGCCAGGAAGTACTCTGATATCTTCTTCCAGAGGGCGTAGGAGGTGGTGGCTCCGATGACATGATCAATGAGAGGAGCGAGAGTGGCGTACATCCAGAGAGTGACGTGGTAGTCAATCTCGCCTTAGGTGGTGTTGGGGTTGGTTGTCGTAGTTGTAGGGTATAGGAGAAATTTAAAATGGTTTGTGATGTGGTCACTAAACACGGGGTGACGAGTGGGAGGTGTCGATGTTGGGGGCAGCGGGACAAAGGAGAACAGAGGGGTGAATTGAGAATTGTCCTGAGGAGGCAGGGGTTTTGTGCTGAAAATGAATTGAGAGGAACCATCGTGGGTGTCGACGCCAGCAGCGGAGGCCATGGCGGAGAAAGCTGCCGGCGAGGAGGCGGGGCTGGTGGCAGCGGAGGGGCAGGCTTCATTCTCGGCCATGGCGACAACGCCTAGTGTCTGATACCAACCTGGAGAGGAGAATGTTTCCCTTAATTGAATCTTGTGTTACACTAATTACATGTATCTAATATGGAAGAGAGGAACCGAACGCCCTGAAAGTCAGGCACGCTGGCCTTGCCGCCTTGGGCGACAAGTTAACAGGACCACCTCTTTGTAAGTTTATTACTTTATCTGTCTCATATTAGTTGTCTCAAACCGATGTGTGTAGCATTAAAATACGTTAGATAGTTTCATTTTAACAAGTACTATGGGACGAAGGAAGTATATATTAACTAAAAAAAACATTAGTCATTTTTTTCCCATGAAATCACAATACAACAGCCAGGATTGCATCGTCATTGTTCATCTTCATTTCCCACACAACCTCTGCCGCTCCTACGCCGTCATTGTTCATCTTCATTTCACACACAGCTCGGCCTCACCAGTGTTGACCCTTATCAGTCACCCAAAAAAAACAGACACCTGATGCTTAGCAAAAACAAAAAACAAAAGGGATGCAAGAGCAGGGATATAAATGCAGAAACTAAAATTGCTTGCAATCACACCAATGTTTCTGTTTTGTATTTGCCAGAAGAAATGAGGGATAACGAACCATGCTTAAGTTGCAGCGTTCTTTATGACTTCACAACTTCATTCATCCATCAATCAGACGGTATGATAGATTGGCAGAAAGAGAATCCGTCAATAGCGGTCAACTGATTGTAAATCACAGGAATAAAATCTCCTGTTTTCCAAACAAAAACGATTTATTGAATAACCTAGGGTGGGCATGCCTCAGTACAACCCATTGGTTCCCTACTTTGACACATTACATTCAGCAGAATTTCAGGTTGCCGCAACAACTAGCTTGGTAGAAAAATGCACCTGCTTCCACCAGCAGAGTGAACTGGGAGACTGGTAGCTTATAGGGGATTAAATCACGTCTGCAATAAAACACTGGCATTTGAGCCCGGAACCACTACACATACCGACAGTTAGTGCTATGATTTCCAAACAGATAATCAAAAGGTTGGGCTGCACTTTGGCCTACTCACGAGCAGCTTGATCAAAGCTGTTGTACCAAAATCGGATAAAAGGTGCAGTATGTATAGCAAGGTTCTTTGAAGCCCTGCTTGCTAGCGGCTGATGGGGGTGTGCATCCGCTCAACGATTCTGTTGATGGCGTCCCGAGTCATCACTAGGGTGTCATGCTGCAGGATGCTGTAGACATTGAGGCCCTGCATTTGAGGATGTGAAACATCAGCACGATCTTCTTGGGTCAAAATATCTGCTGGGAAAACTACAATGTGACTATTCATCATTGTTAAGCTGCTGAGGTACCCAGACTTCTTGGGTCAAAATATCTGCTGGGAAAACTACAATGTGACTATTCGTCATTGTTAAGCTGCTGAGGTACCCAGACACTTACAATCGAAGGAATGACATTCACATAGTGAAGATTTTGAGTAGCCAGCTTTAACTTCTTATCAATGTCGCCTCCGTCCACCAACAAAATCTTCTTCGTATCATCCATCTGCTTTATGTACTGCACGATGTTTTTCGTCTTGTGGCTAGGGACTTCTAAGTCCTCGAAGATGCAGAGCTACAATAAAACATGGTCAAGTGAACTTTACATGCATATATGTATTTACTGTGAAAAATGGTTCAAATGGAGAGATCCAGACTGGCTCTTGTATACATATATTTGCTTTCAGGATAACAGATGGTCAAGTACTTTTGGGAGCAGCACCAGAAGAAAAAAAACATTGCATAAACAAATTTATTTACACATTGCTTAATAGATTTCAGTAGCTTTCACCCTTTCAAGAAGCCGTGGAAACAATAACAGCTGAATATTACATCTCATAAGCAACAACCCTAATAAGATTAAGTAAACAGTCTAAGAAGACAAGGCAGTCATAGAAACCATTCTACAAACAGTATTGATCAAAAAGTACAATTAGTCCATGCTCCATTAGAACTAGGTAAGTGGTCTGTTCTCTGAATTTCAGGAAGGATCTATGAAGTACACCCTCCGATCCAAAATAAGTGTTTTAGTTCAAATTTGAACTAAAACCATGACATATTTTTTTAGATCAGAGGGAGTACAAAATATAGTGAAGGGACATAGAAAGTGTAAACATAGCAAAACAGTTCCTCAGGCGTCTCATAGTGGCATGCTGATCAACAGCTTGTGCAACAGCACAGCAATTCTTGCATAGTTCTAGCAATAAGAGACATGATCATTACTGTGGCCTGAAGCATACTACTAAACAAGGTTCTTTATTCGATACAGAATTCATTTCGTAGCACAAATTGTTATCTTGGGACAAGACAGGAGCTAACTACACACAAGAACATCCAGGAATATACACAATGAATTAGTAAGGCAGCAGATACCTTCCCCTCAGCTGTTCTAGCAGACAAAGCTATCTTAAGTCCCAGACGTCGTACTTTCTTCTGCAACTTGAATGCATGGCTTCGTGGTTTCGGACCATGCATAGTTGCACCTCCTCGAAACTGTTTCAGTTTGAATCTGAGTTTAGTTGGAGCCCAAAGAAGATAAGATATCTCCAGAGCCTATTCGATACCATTTATATGAATGGAGGAATGTTAGTATAACCTGACAACCACGCAATGTTCCATGACGTGCTCTTCCTGTTCCCTTTTGCTTATAAGGCTTTCTTCCTGTGCCGCTCACTTCACTGATAGTTTTAGTTGAGTGTGTCCCCTGTGAAAGACAGGTGCATGCAATTATCAGAAGGTGCATTAGAAGGATAGAACTTAAAAATCTAAACTTCAGAAAGTAACTGATATTACGCAAACATATTATACAGTAGATCACATGATTTGCGAGCTTGTAAGCGGAAGGCAATCAACAGAACAAGAGTGATCATAGTGTGCACCTGTTGCCTTTTAGCAAGCTGCCACCTTACTACCCTGTGAACAATATCCTTCCTAATTGGAACGTCAAAAACATCACCATCCAAAACCATGAATCCCTTGTCCTCATTATGGAAGTTTGTTACTCTAGCTACTAGGTCCTCATACTGCCCTGTAATAGAATATTACTTACAACTCAGCATAATGTGAAGATCACATATATAGCTTTCATTAGCCAATTATGATACAATTGAAACTAGATAAAAAGTGAAATCAAGTTCCGTCCCATTATAGAAAATCTTGTTCAGCGAAGCTAGATTTTCAATCAAAGTAAGAGTGCAGAGTCAACTAAGAAATATATGCTGGTTAGATAAAAACAGAGCATAAGGTGCCACTTTATCCATTAATTCAAAAACCTAATTTTTATAGTGAATTTTTCGATTCAAGGCTTTGTTGCTACATTAAAACTGAACCTGATTACAGGTGTCCACTTTAAGCGTTGGCAGACCAAAACTACCTTGTGGCTCACAGCGATGAATGTGTTCTGGGTCACTGGTGGCACTCCCGAAAGAACGATTCCTCCTGATCAGAAGGCATTTAGGGAGGCCAGCACCACCTTTCTTAGAGCCATTTTGAGTGTGATCGGAGACAAGTTAGATGATGCATATCTCCTTATGCGGGTTGCCTTCAAGCTCCTTAGCGATGTACTTTTATCTCATGTGCCTCATCCAGCACAGGACAGTTTTCAACCATGCTGCAGTCATGGAACTACTCCATGGCAATACAACACGCTCCCAGCATTAGTACCACCAGATTTTTCCTTGAGCGCATCCCACAAGTTCTTGGCAACCCACATATGGAGATATGCATCAACTAAGTTGTCTCCGATCACACTCAGAACGGCTCCTACAAAGACGGTGGTGGCCTCCCTAAACGCCTTCTTCTGATCAAGAGTAATCATTCCTTCGGAAGTGCCGCCAGCAACCCAAAACACATTCATCGCTGTGAGCTACATGGTAGTTTTGGTCTACCAATGCTTAAAGTGGACACCATAAAACAGGTTCGGCTTTAATGTAGCACCAAAGCCTTGAATCAAAAATTGCCTATAAAAAGTGTTGTTTTTATCTAACTCAAGAGAAACAGCATTGTGATAGCAGCAGATGGATAAGAAACACCAGAAACACACCAAGCTCTCGGTCTGGTGTCCAGACAGTCTTGCTAGATAGAAGTTCCGGTGGAATCAGCACTTCATTTGCTGGAGCCATAAGAGTAGAATACCCATTGGAGTAGACATTTGGCAAAATCTGCAAATGATGAAAGCTAACTGAGAAGGCAGAACAAGAATCAGATGCCATGAAATATAGCCAAGACACTTAATAGTTAATACATAACAAGATACAGAAAATAAACTTTTGAACATAGCACATTGTTGCTATTTGCTAATCCTCACTGAGACAGAACTCGAGCAAGCCCATATTTGTTAATGATTGCAATCTGGATCTGAAAGTACCTGAGCAAGCTGATACCTAAACCCAATCACACTCAATCAAATGCTACATTTCCAAACTAGAAGCGGCCAAGCATAAAATCCACCACAAAAATCTGTTCACGGAGTAGCATCTGGTTATCTGTCAGGTCCTATAACGAGGGGCAGTTTTAGCACATACATCTATAGGCACCAAACAAACGAGGGACAAGCTCAGTTATCCAATGCTACACAAGCCTGGCAGCCATATCCAACGGCAGTTGTTATTTAGCATCATGTCTTAATTACTGTTGATTTTAGTTCAGTTAAAACAGGCAGTCTGTTTAGCCATTTAACTCTACTGTTCTGCCACTATACTCATGGAAGCTGTTCAGTTATCTATGCCTCTCAGGTTGTGAATGAGAAGTAAGAAGAAAAATCCCTGAAACTACTAATTTCTTAAGAGTAGATAGCAGCATATGCGATTTATTCTTCCCAAATATCAGGAATATGACCCAAACCCCCAAAAATTCAGTGTCAATTGCTCCACAAATCCTGACTGGCTGATGGGATCTTGGTACCATCCCGACGGACGCGCCCAAATCCATGGTTTCTAAAACCGTCGTAAACCCTACATATCCAGCAAGCGAAATGCGGTCTCACGTATTCCAACTGGCGGAGCACGTCGCACCAGCCCCAAGGAGAACCAACGTGACAGAAATGGGGAGGATGGGGTTCGAGAGCCAGACCTTGGCGAGGAGCGGGGTGTCGCGGCCGGCGGCGCCGAGCTGAGGCGGGCAGGCCACGGCTCGGCGCAGGAGGGACGCGGCACGTGCGAGGGCTTGCATCGGCTGGCCGCGTCCTCTCCGCCCGGCTCCAGCAAGGCTAGGCTGGTGGTTTTCGCGGCGGCGGCGGCGGCGGCGGCGGCGGCGGCTGACGGGGAGGGAGAGAGGATGGAGCAGGAGGGTTCTGGAGGGGAAAGGGTTGACGGGTCGGGCTCGGCTCTGCCTGGCTGGGCTGCGTGTTTTTTTAGATCAACAGGCCAAACGAGCCCGCCCGTGCTAATCGTGTCTTTCACGGAAAATCCTATGCGCCGCTCATTGCATCAAAATGTCGACAGAACGCACAGGCAATACCCCGCATCGCTAGCAATGGGCCGGCCCATTAAACCAGAGCTAGACATCCGGTTTTGGGAAGCCTCTAGAAGGTTCCCTTTTTTCTTGTTTTTACCGTTTTTCCTGTTACTTCTTGGGTTTTTTCGTTTTTCTTTTCTCTGTTTTTCTGTTTCGTTTTCTTCTTCTTTTTCTGGTTTCCGTTTTTTCCCTTTTTTGTTTCTTTCGAAAATTGTTCAGAAAGTCCAAAATTTGTTCGTGTTTCTAAAAAAGTTCCAAATTTCAAAAAATGTTCGTGTTTAAAAAAAATGTTCAAAATTCGAAAAATGTTTGCTTTTCCCAAAAATTGTTCCGGCATTAAAAAATTATTCTGAATGTTTTTGTTCAAAAAATTTCACATTTTTTAGAAAACGTTTCTGTTTTAAAAATTGTTCATGTTTTCATTTTTCAGAAGTTTCAAAAATGTTCCAGTTTTAAAAATTGTTCATGTTTTCATTTTTCAGAAGTTTAAAAAAATGTTCCAGTTTTAAAAATTGTTCATAAGGTTTTAAAAAATCGTGTTTGGAAATTTTGTTCAGGAATTTGAAAATATGTTCACCTTTCCAAATTTTGTTCTGAAATTTGTAAAAATGTTCTGGTTGCAAAAAAACTGTTCAAGATTTTCAACAAATGTTCTTGTTTTTCGAAAATTTTATAGCTTTTTAAAAGTTGTTCACAAATTTAGTAAGTTTTTGCTTTTCACACAACATTCCGTTTTTAAAAAAATATTGCTTCCGAAATTCTTAGACTAATTCAGATCTGCGCAGCTTATTTGTTCTTTAAGTTTGATGCTAGCCATTTCATCAGCTACGACCGCTAGCCTAGTTGGCAAGAAGCCATGCTGTGTAGCCAAGCATCGCGCGTTCGAATCTCTGTCAACGCCTATTATTTTTTTAGCTACAGGGCGCGTTCGATTTCTGTTGCTGTCGCTGTCTTCATGGACCGGCCCAGTCGAAGTCACCCCTGTGCGAAACGGCGACGATTTGACGCAAAGAGCGTCACATAGGAGGTCTCGTCTTTCACGGCACGACCCACATGGACACGATGAGTAAACGGGTCGTGCCGTGCCAGCCCACATGCTGCACCTATCAGCCCAGGCACGGCCGAGAATAACTAGTTGGCGAGCGCTTCTTCGGGAGCCTCCTAACCATCACTTGACATGCTCTTAACTGTCGGCCCGCCGCCACGTGTCACACTCTGGTCGTTCCCTTTAAATTTTTTAATTTTTTTCGCACGTGTTTTCAGCTTTTTAAATGGTTTTTATTTTTTTGAATTTTTTTACTTTTTCACCGGTCTTCCTTAACTTTTGAAAAAGAATCCAAAAAAATTTATGCGTAAAATATGTTTTTTTCTTCTGCAAGAGGCACGATTTTGCTTTCGCGGGAGGCACAGTTTTGCTTTCGCAAGAGGTACGACCATGCTTTTCGGAAACATGAAAAAACGTGCTTTTAGTGTTTTTTCTGCGAGAGGCGTGGTTTTGCTTCTGCGAGAGGCATGATTGTGCTTTCGCGAGCCTATCGGAAACAGGACAAAAATGTGTTTTTTGTTTTTTTTTCCTTTCACGAGAAGTACGGTTTTGATTCCGTAAGAGGTACGGTTGTGCTTTCGTGAGAGACATGACCATGCCTTTTGGAAATGAAAAAACGTGTTTTCTGTATTTTTTTTTTCTTCCGCGAGAGGCATAGTTTCGTGATCATGCCTCTCAAAAACGCAAATAAAACATGTTTTCTGTTTTTTTCCATCCGCGAGAAGCAAGCTTTTACTTCCGCGAGAGACACGACTGTGCTTTTGCGAGAGGCACGGGCGTGCCTCTCGGAAACGGAAAAAAATGTGTTTTCTGGTTTTTTCGCGAGTGGCACGGTTTTCCTTCCGCGAGAGATGCGGCCGTGCCTCTTTCAGAAAGGAAAAATATGTGCTCCCAATTAGGTTTTTCATTCATCTTTTTTCATGAAAAAAAGTTTGTTAAACCTATCAACATGAAATCTAATTTTGAAGTTCTCGATGCGAGGAATCCAATGATGAAGAAACGGTTTAAAATTTGGACGCACGGTTTAAGAGATAAAATGTTTTGAATAAAGGACGTACGAAAAAAGAGATAACTCTCAGATTACGATAAATGGCGTGGGTGTAGTGCGTCATTTGTCGTAACCTGAAAAGGTGGGAGTGATCTTTGAAAGGAATACTCCTTAATTAGTTATTTCGGGCATGACCGCTTACCTAAACAGGCCGGCCCGTCGGCACGCCAAGCACTCTTGGGCCATGTACTTTCTGCCTGTTGAGCTATAGCCTATAAATATTTTAAATATCTAGGAAAAAC